GAAAAGTAAACAATTCAAATAATAGAAAACAGAAGTAATAGAAAGCAAAAAAAAAAAAAGAAAGAAAGAAAGAAAGAATGAAATAAAGAATAAAAAAAAAAAAAGCCGAAGAAAAAAGAAAGCAGAAGAAGAGAATGATAATGATGATGATGATAATAATAATAAAAAGTTGATTAAAAAAAAAAAAAAAAGAAGTTAATTTGAAACTACTTAAAGTTTTTTTTTTTTAATTTAACTTAATGTAATTCTTGTCTTAATGATTTAGTAGTATACATATAAAAATAAATAATGTTATGTTATTTAATAAACAATAATAATAATAAATAAAAATCGACTCGTTAATAATTATTAATACATAAATAAATAAAAATAATTTAAAGTAAAAAAATTTTTTTAAAATATATTTTTATTTTTTTTTTTGTTATTTTTTAAAAAATTTTTTTTATTAAATATTATTAACTCATAGTTGTTTATTTAAACAAATAAATTAATAAAATAACACTTAATAATAATAATGATAATGATAATAATAGGATTTCATTAACTTTTTACGCCTAAAAATGTTTTTTTTTTTTCCCCTTCTTGAGAGGACTTTAATGAAAAACTTGATTTTTTTTTTGTTAAATAGGAGGACTTGTAAAAATCGATTATGAAATTATTATTATTATATTTATTTTTCAGCTTTGATAATATGAATTCCCTGAATTCGGTCCTGTTACCGTATCGAGGAATTTATTATTTCTCGGATGAGGCCAATAAGAAGATTCTGTGAAAAGAGAATTTGGTTGTTTATCAAAATTTTGTTTGTTTCTTAATATCGATTTGGGATTGTTATTGTCTTCTTGTTCGGTTGTTGTGTTGTTGTCACCGAATCCATCGGAATCGTTTATATATTTTTTATTATTAGAATTATAAAATGTTTCTTCCGTCGTCAGGGACGGTGTCATCATCGTCATCGTCATCGTCGTCATCGCCGTCGTAGTCGTCGTCGCAGACGGCGGCGGATTCGTTTTTTCCAAATAATTCGAATCGATAAATTTTTTTATTGTATTTTTTTCTTTTATTACCCGTTCGTCTCCATCTTTATAATTTATTATGTTGTCTTCGTTTAATATTTCGCATGATTCTTTCATTTTATACAATTGATCCTGTAGAGATCTGTATTCTTTTAAAAATTTTTCAAGTTCCCACGACTTGCATTTAATATTTTTATGAGATTTATTACCGCGATCTGTCAAACAACCGTCCGCGTCGATACCAATGTTATCACCGTCGTGATTTTCCGGGGATATGGGTACGCTCACGTTAACAAATAAACCACCATCGCCACCACCGGATTCTGCAGAGGGTCTTCTGCTACCATTTGAAAAATTACTTTCCCAACTGTCGCCACTACTTCCGGGTAGTAGAGGTGATTGACTTTCCGAACCCGTGCTACCGTGTCTCGTTTTTTTCATTTTGTAACTTCTTTTTCTAGGCATTGTGCAAAATGAATTATTATTATTATTATTATTTATTAAATTATCCGGGTTGTTGTTAGACAGTTCCAATAAATCTGGATATTTTCCACGTATTTGTGCTCTTTGTTTTAATTGAGTTGTTGCAGACGACGACGACGATGACGTTGATATCGTTTGATTATTATTACGTCTTTTATCAACGTTTATAAAATTTGGCGAAACGGTATTGAACGCGAGAAAACTTGTGGAAGACGCAATTTTATTATAATTTCCATGCGTGTCCTCTTGTAAATCATTTTCTTTAAACAAACAGGAAGTATTTCTCCCATTTTCTTCGTTTCTGAAACAAACAAAAAAAAAAGAAAGAAAAAAAAGAAAATCAACCGTGTGGTTAGTTCGTTCGACGAATAAAAAAAAAAAAAAAAAGAAAATTTTCTTTTTTTTTAATCGACCGTCGTCGTCGTTGTTGTTGTTGTTGTTGACAAAACATAATATACATGTAATTAAAATTTATTCTTCTGCTGAAAGACGACTTTTGTGTTTTCCGGCATTGTTTTAAATTTCTAACAAAAACTAATCAAACGGGGAAGGAAATAAAGTTAAAAAAAAAAAAAATGAAGGCGATTTATGTGACGGGTTAAAAATATAAGAAACCCAACGAATTCGTAGCCCACAATAAAGTTCCTATTATTATTATTATTATTATTATTCTCATTTTCGAAACGTTTTTGGGTTTTTACAAAATTGAAAATTTTCTTGTTTTTCCAGAAATTTAATTTTTCAACATTTTGTTTTTACGTCTTTTAAAAAATTATACACCATTTTATTCCTTTCAATTTATTCGTTTTAATTTTTTTTAAAAAAATTTCTTTCTTACTTTTTGTCCCCTTACCCCTTTTTCTCTCTCTCACACTCCCTTCCCATTTATAAATCGTTAGCATCATCATCATTATTATCTATGTATAATAAAAAAAAAAAATTGTGCGTAAAACGTATTAAACTTTTTTTTTTCTTTTTTCCCTCCGATGATTTATTAAATTAATGACGGTGTTAATTAAAAATAATTTTATTATTTTTTCTTATAAAAAAAAATGTCTTTCATTATTATTATTATTATTATTATTATTTTCAATTAATAATAAATTACGTGGAATGTAAAGTAAAAATTAACAAAATGGCGGCGTGACAGACGTTGGAAACGTTCGTTTTTTGCGTTATTCGGGTCAAGTTAAGAAAATTTTTTTTTTTTTTTTTTAAATTATTAAATCGCATGTTCGTATGCAAAATAAGAAAAAAAAAAACTTTCGCCTTCCCACCACCACCGCCACCCCTCACCCCCCGTTAAAAGTCACACGAATTTTTTTTCTTCTGCTTTTTTTTTATTTATTTTTTTATCACGACAACAAAATCGAACACAATTTTTTGTATCGGAAAAAAATAAGAAAAAAAAAAAAATATATATAATTAATCGATACGATGAAAGGAAAAAAAGGAAAAATGAAAGAAAATAATATAAGTGACGTCACAAACTGGAGAAAAAAAAAAAAGGGGTCGAGGGATTTAAATGGGAGTTTATATACGAGGTCTAAAACGTGCCTGGGGTCAGGCAAATTCTTAAGAATCACTTTACATTCAAAACTGTTTAACATTCAGTTCTCGCATTAGGTTTAAAAAAAAAAAAAAAAAAAAAGACATATCTAGTAAACCAATCTCCTGGATACGGTTCTTTTTTTTTCTCTGGAAAACACGATTCTGGAAAAAAAAAATCACTTTATTTATGAAATTTTTTTTTTTTTTCGAAAGAAAAAGAAAAGCAAAAGCAAAACATTAATATTTGTTTTTTTTTTTTATATTTATATATACCAAAATAAATTATTTAAATTTATATATAAAAAAAAACAAAACAAAATTTTATTATTATTATTTGGGAGGGAGGGAGAAAGGGGCGTGTCCTTCGAAAGAGAGAAGGAGAGGGGGGAGGAACTGCTAAAATAAAAACGAAATAAAATAATAATTTTTTTTTTCTTTCCATTTTTTCTTTATCGACCGTCCATTTTTTTTTTTACTAAAAACAACCCTTAAAAATTTCATCCTATCATCCCTTTGTCATCCTCCTCTATCCCCCCTCCCTTCCCGCACTCATTCCTCTCCAATTATTTCCCATCATTCATAAAAAAAAAAAAACTCAACTTCCGTCATTTAAAATTTTTTTTTTTTTTCTTAACTGGAAAAGTCTTTTATTATTAAAAAAAAAAAAAAAACTTTTGGAAAAATTTACCGTCAAATTATTATTATTATTATTATTATTATTATTATTATTATTATTATTATTATTATTATTATTATTATTATTATTATTATTATTATTATTATTATTATTATTATTATTATTATTATTATTATTATTATTATTATTATTATTATTATTATTATTACTTTTTCCCCCCTCATTCCCTTTTTTCCGACATTTTTTTTTTTTTACACGTCGAAACCTTTTATTTAAATTTGATTAAAAAAAAAAAAAACAAAATGGTGGAAAAGTTTCGTTTACTATTACGGAAACGTTTTTTTGTCCAAACAAAATAAAAATCCCGTTTCTGGAAATAATAATAATATTGATGATGATAATAATAATAATGATAATAATAATAGATGAAGTTTTAAAAAGGAAAAAAAAAAATAAAATAAACGCGTTTGTATCCGGTGACGTAAATTTTACGTAACATTTAACATTTTGGATTTTGGAATGATAAAGAAGAAGAAAAAAAAGAAAAACAGGAAACAAAGGATGTGACCGGAAATCAAAGTAAGAAACTAGAAGAAGAAGAAGAAAGGAAAAATTTATTTATATGTATAAAAAAATAAAATGTTTGGATATTGACAAGACAAAAAAAAGAAAAAAAAAAGATACAATCATTTTCACCCATAAATGCCCCAGTTGGGCCATTTTTCTCCATCAAATGTCACTTAATCCTGGTTCTCGTTCCTGTTGTAAAAAACAGGAATCGAAAATTCCAGATAAATATAAATTTAACATTAAAAAAAAGAAAAAGAAAATTTATCTTTTCTTTGTTTTTTTTTTTTTTTTTTTTTTTTTACGTCTTCCCATTTAAATTACTTTTTAATAATAATAATAATAATAATAATAATAATAATTGATTGAAATGATTATGTTGTTAGGGGAGGTAAAAATAATAAAAATGATTGTTGCGTTTGTTTGTTTGTTTGTTGTTGTTGTTGATAAATGAATGAAGTTTGTTTAAACGTTGAAAATTTTTTTAATTTTACGCTTATTTATTATTAAAAAATGACAAAAAAAAAAAAATTTTCTCTTTTATTTTTTTTGTTTTTTTTTTTTTTGGGGAGTCGAAATTTCGAATTTTTTTGTTTGTTGTTGTTGTTGTTATTGTTGCATTGTCGATGATGTATGTATAGTTTTTTTTTTTTTTTTGTAAAATTTGTTTTCATTAGATCGGATTCCGGTTTGTTTTTTCTCATTCGCACGCATTTCCGCTTTTTATTTGAATTTTTTTTGTTTTGTTTTTTTTTTTTGTTGTTTCATTGATTGCTTCCCGGTTTAAAAAACTAAAACAAACCATTCATTTCTCTGTCATTTAATCTCGTTTGATTTTGTTGCTTCATCAATTTTTTTTTTTGGGGAGACTACCATTTTTTTTTTGTTTTTTCGGGAAAACAAAAAAAAATACACAAAACAAAAACCACTCATTCGTTTCTTTTACTTGTTTCTTTATCCTTTCGAAGCCGCTTATTTTCATTTTTTTTATTTTTTTCCATCTCCCTCTCTCTTTCTCTCTCTTTGTTTTATGTCTCCCTTTTTATCCCTCCCTAACGTTTCCCAACCTAACAAAACCATCCCCGACCATTTTACTCTTCCATCGAACAATAATTTTATAAATATTTATTCATCGAATCGAATCGAATTTTACAAAAAAAAAAAAAAAAAAAAAAGTAAACAATCGTGTAAATAGAATAAAATTTTTGGCGCCAAAATTTAAAAAATTTATGTATTACTTTTGTAAAAGACTGACAAATAATAATAATTTAAAACGTACGAACGAATGGGGGTAAAGAGAAAAATAAATAAATAAATAAATAAAAAAGTTAATTTTCAAGGCGGACGGCCCCCCACCTTCCCCGACTCATGAAATATTCTAGAAAATAAAGGAAAGGTTTAATTTTTTGACAGTAAATAGTATGATTTTCCTAGTTAAATTATAAATTGCAAGGGTCGGAATGAGATTTACACAAGTGGTGCCGCCACTTTTCCCTAAGATTCAAGGTAAATCCTTCTTAACCCAGATTCAAATCTCAAATCCCTCCCTCTGGATTTTTTTTTTTTTTTTATATTTAAATTACATTCAAATTTAGTATATATATTTTTTTATTACGTTTTTTTCCACTTTTTCCTTTTCTTTGTCTTTTTCATCTTATCCTAAAGATAAAGAGAGAGAGAGAAAGAAAGAAAAAATTGGAATATTATTTGATTTAAAAAAAAAAAAAAAAAAGTCTGAGCCGGTTTTAAATTTCAAAAAATCTCATTATTAAATTTCAAATGGTGGCTGACTTTTTTTTTTTTTTTAAACTAAATTGGTAGCCATTTTTTTTTGCTTATAAAAATGATTTTGAATAAAAAAAAAAATCCTCCTCCTCCTTTCCCCCCCTCGTTTTTTCATTTACTCTCAAACAACAAGACTTTTTTTTCTTTCCAAAAATTCCAGTTTAAAAAAAATTTCAAAAGATTTTACCTTTTCCCACCTTCAAAATAATTTAATTTATTTTTAAACGAAATGTTAGGAGGAGGGAAGAGGAGGGAAAAATCGTTACAAAAAAAAAAACTTACTCGTTTAATCTTGGAATGTGTAAATCTGGAGACGGCCTGGAGTCACTGGATTCGCTTAATCTATCTTCGACGTTTGACGTTTTCAATGCATCCCAATTTTCAACATCGTCACGATATTCCATACCTGAATTATGTGTTAAAGTATAATCTCCTCCTCCACCACCACCTCCACTTCTTTGCATTTTTCCATCGTATGTATTATCGCTAACATTTTCACCTTTTGACGAATCTTTACCTTGAAAAACAAAGAGAACGTATTAAAATCGTACCGAACGAGCGAACGGAATCAAATATTAATATTTTAATAATAATAATACTGAATAAGCATTGAAAGTTTTAAAAGATCGAAGAACCTTCTTATTATTATTATTATTATTCTTAATATTGCCAAAAGGGGAAATTATATATATTGTTATGATCCCGTACTCAATATTCACATTTTCAACTTTTTATAAACAAAAGACTGGCGACGAACTCAAATTGTTCTTCTTTAGAAGCGAAGCTTCTAAAGACTCCTTCTTTTATTTTATTTGCAAGTGTTTGCTCGAACATTCGAAACAGTTGACTGACGAAAGACCAAAGTAATATAGGCAAGCTACACAGCTTGGCGTCGGTTCATTTGATTTTTAGTCTAGCTGTAATAAGTTCTTGTTTATTAATATTAGTTTTGTTAGTGATAGTTTTAAGTGCTTGTTCATTACTTACAAAAATAAAGAACGAACCGAATATAACATATTAAAATTTTGGCGCAGTCGACGAAGGATCATTCTGAACGACAAGAAACCGGAGAATTCTTAAGTAATTCGTTTCATGTTGGTGGGTTTTAACTCTTTATCAGAATTTCTTTATACTAAAACTTACAGATATCCAGAAATACACAAAAGAGAGGTTAACAAACAGGTGACCGATATGCTGAAACAAAACATTATAAGACCTTCCAATTCTCCTTGGTCGTCTCCATTATGGGTTGTTCCAAAAAAATCTGATGCTTCTGGAGAGAAGAAATGGAGAGTAGTAATTGATTATCGAAAATTGAATGAAGTTACAGTAGATGACAAATATCCTATTCCTAATATTGAAGAAATTTTAGACCAGTTAGGGCGTTCAAAATATTTTACTACTCTAGACTTGGCTTCCGGTTTTCACCAAATTCCATTGAATGACGATGACAGTAAAAAGACAGCTTTTACAACTCCTTTTGGACACTACGAGTACACGCGTATGCCTTTTGGACTGAAAAATGCCCCAGCTACTTTTCAAAGACTAATGAATACCGTTTTATCCGGTTTACAGGGACTACAATGTTTTGTTTACCTTGACGACATCGTGATCCATGCTGCTAGTATTCAGGAACACGAAATTAAGTTAAGGAAAATATTCGACAGACTCCGACTAAATAATCTCAAATTACAGCCGGACAAATGTGAGTTCCTAAGAAGAGAAGTCGTTTACTTGGGACATACTATCAGTGACGTAGGTGTCAGACCAAACCCAGACAAAGTACAGGGAATTAACTCATTCCCTATCCCGAAAAGTACTAAGGACATAAAGTCTTTCTTAGGTCTGGTAGGTTATTATCGTAGGTTTATAAAAGGATTTGCCAAAATTGCAAAGCCCTTGACAATTCTTCTTAAGAAAAACCAGGACTTCAAATGGACAAACAAAGAGCAAGAAGCATTTGAAAAATTCAAGGAAATCCTTTCCACACAACCCATATTACAGTACCCCGATTTTAATAGCGAGTTTGTCTTGACAACGGATGCATCGAATTTCGCAATAGGAGCCGTCCTCAGTCAGGGGGAAATAGGAAAAGACTTACCAATTGCCTATGCATCTAGAACTCTGAATGAGTCCGAATTAAACTATAGTGTAATTGAAAAAGAACTCCTAGCTATCGTATGGAGCGTCAAACATTTTCGACCCTACCTCTTCGGAAGGAAATTCACTATTGTCACAGATCATAGACCTCTAACCTGGTTGTTTAATTGCAGGGAGCCCAATAGTAGGTTGGTACGGTGGAGAATTAAATTAGAAGAATATAATTATAAGATTATTTATAAGAAGGGAAGCCTAAATGCAAATGCCGATGCACTCTCCAGAAATGTCTATATAAACGTACCATCGTCCGACAAATCCGAAAAAATCCATCCCAAAAGTAAGGAAGAGATTAAGAAAATTTTGGTAGAAAACCATGATTCTAAACTGGCTGGACATTGTGGATTTTGTAAAACCTATCAAAGAATCAAACAACGTTATTACTGGAAAACAATGAAGAATGATATAAAAAACTATATAAGAAGTTGCAAGTCCTGCCAAGTTAACAAAATTAATTTTAAACCTATTAAGGTGCCCATGGAAATAACAACTACCTCTAAGCAAGCTTTTGAAAAATTGGCCATAGATGTCATGGGACCATTGCCAACCACTAGTGAGGGAAATAAGTTCATTCTGACCATGCAAGATGACTTAACCAAGTATTCATACGCGGAGCCCATACCGAACCATGAGGCGAGAACAATAGCTTCGAAGATCTCCAAATTCGTGACGTTATTCGGAATCCCTAAATTTATTCTGACAGATCAAGGCACTGATTTTACATCGAACATAATTAAAAACTTAATGAAATTATTTAAAACAAATCACATAAAATCTACTCCATATCATCCGCAAACTAATGGAGCATTGGAGAGATCTCATCTGACCCTGAAGGAATATTTAAAACATTATATAAACGAGAGACAAGACGATTGGGACGAATTTATTCCTTTTGCCATGTATTCCTTCAATTCGCACACGCATACTTCCACAGGTTACACTCCATATGAGCTTTTATTTGGCAAGAAACCGTTCATACCGAATTCATTGATAAGAAAATCTACACTCAGAAAATTCATTGATAAACCATTTAATAAAAATTACGATGATTATATTAGTGATTTAAAGGAGAAGATTCAAATCAGTCAAAAATTAGCCAGAGAGAATCTAATAAAACATAAGGTGAAGTCAAAACAATATTACGACAATAAGATCAATATTCACGATTATAAGATTGGAGATTTGGTTTATATAAAAAACAATTTAACTAAAATAGGAATCAATAAAAAACTTAGTCCAAAATTTAAAGGCCCATACGAGATCAAGAAAATATCTGGGAATAACGTTTATTTAAAAATCCGTAACAAATTAGTTACTTATCATGTTAACAACACAAAACCGTGTTCTGGGTAGTTGATCTAAAGAGAGAAATCCAAAATAATAATAATTTAATCCTTTTATTTTCCCATATAGCTAATCATCATTTATTTTATTATTAATCCATTTATTCTTTTTCTAATCATTATTTATGTTTCCTATATACAATTCTTGTATTTTTCAGAACTTATGTCAATTTTGTTTCGAATTTCATGTCTTTTGATTTTATTCTTTTATCTTTACTCTTTATGTACATTGTTCACTAACGAGTATTGCCTAGGAAAGTTCTGCTACTTGCAGCTATAAAGCTTAAAATTATGTTCCTGATAAGAAGCCAATGTGAAGAGATACAACAGTCTACCCTACAGAAGACATAGCACCTACTACTACTCAAGGAGTCTCAACCTGGACGGAACCATCCAGAAACCGACATAGGAAGCTGTCAAATCCGAACAAGAGGAGAAAACAAATTCTTTTTCAAATAATTGTTTTCCGTCTTAAGGGGGGAGGTGTTATGATCCCGTACTCAATATTCACATTTTCAACTTTTTATAAACAAAAGACTGGCGACGAACTCAAATTGTTCTTCTTTAGAAGCGAAGCTTCTAAAGACTCCTTCTTTTATTTTATTTGCAAGTGTTTGCTCGAACATTCGAAACAGTTGACTGACGAAAGACCAAAGTAATATAGGCAAGCTACACAGCTTGGCGTCGGTTCATTTGATTTTTAGTCTAGCTGTAATAAGTTCTTGTTTATTAATATTAGTTTTGTTAGTGATAGTTTTAAGTGCTTGTTCATTACTTACAAAAATAAAGAACGAACCGAATATAACAATATATATATATATATATATATATATATATATATATATATATATATATTAGTTCTTGTTCATATTTTATCTCCTTAATGTTCATTAATTACTAAAATTCTAATTCTAGTGACACGTCACGATTTAGTATTCTTAATTGAATTCGCATTAATCCTTTTGGCAAACACATAATAAAAACGTTATTAAGGTCTCGATATGAAAAATAAAAAAAAAAGTTTCGTTTAATTTTTTTTTTTTTTTTTTTTTTTGATTACGTAAAAATAAAATAAAAAAAATTTTATTTTTTAAAACAAAATGGCGGACTGAGAGAAAGAGAGAGAGAGAGAAATGGAAAAAAAGAAAAACAAATTATTTTATTTGATATCGTTTAAATCTTTTATTCGTCGTGAAAATTACGAGAAAATAAAAAAAAATAAAATAAATAAGAATTTAAGCCCTCATCTCTTAGTATTTTCTATCTCTCTCTCTTTCTTACTCTCTTTTTCTTTTTCCAGGATTTCCAAAAGAAAAAAAGAAAAAAATTTCTCGACAGGATTTTTATATTTTTATGCGTAAAAAAAAATTTAACAAATTGAATTTAAAAAAAAAAAAAAAAAAGAAAGCAGGCGATCACGAGTAAAATTTTAAGTGGCAATTCTGTTCTCTTTAACTTTTTACCTTTTTTATTATATATGAATGAATGAATGAATGACAAGTGAAAAAAAAAAATAAAGAAAATCACATTACGTCAAAAATCTTTTCATTGACGCAAAAAAAAAACTCAAAAAGCAGAAGAAAATCTTTAAAAAAAAAAAAAAAACGGTCGACTTATGAAATGTTGTTTGTTGTTGTTATTATGTTTTCAAGAACGCATAATTTCATAATTTTTTTCTTTTTTTTTTTTTTTTTTCCTAATATACGATCCGGCACGTTTTTTGTACTTTTTTATATTAAAAAAATTTAATGTAGCCGTCGCATGATGAAGATTGACGGTTCTATTGGTGCGTGTGCATGTGCGTGTACGCATTATTTTTTTCCACTCGAAACGATTTGTTGAAATCCGACACGCACACACACACGCAAAATAAAAAATAATAATGTTAACGTTAAAAAGCTCGATAGTAACGTGAATGATTTACATAAAAAGTTTTTTTTCTTTCCGATCGATCGATCCATCGATCGATAAATCGAAAATTTTTTTTTCTGTTGTTTTTATTAAAATAAATTCAGGGATTATTAAAAACTTTTAAGAAAGAAAAAAAAAACGATTATAATTTATTCTTTTCATATCGATTTTTTTTTTCGACCTTTTTATGTTTTACGTGCATAAAATTATCGATTTTTTTTTTTGAAAATTTAAATTTTACTTTGATTTATTGTTGTAAAAGGCGATGGCGTCGACGATGACGTCATCGACGACAAAAAACACGATTATAATAATAATAAAAGAAAATGTAAATTATACGAACCTGTGATTTTATAAGTTTTTGACGTGGAATTAGATCTACAGTGATTTCCGTAATCCACGATTTTATTATAATTTATTGGCTTTTTATGATTCATTTCGTAGCCGTCCGAATCGTATTCTCTTCCGCCGACCGTGTGACGAAAATCAAATTTTCTTTTTCTCGAACTCCAGGCACAAAATGTGAGCAAACCTACGACAATAATAAATAATAGGGATACTACTCCCACGGCGGCAATCATTCTAGAAGACCATATTCTCACTATGGGTTTTATAACGACCGTAAGAGTTATGTTTGCTTCCGATTTTCCTGCTTTGTTTTCCGCTCTGCAAACGTACACCCCATTATCTTGACTATCTGCCGAGTGGATGGTTAGATTGCTCGTCTCTCTCCCAATTTCGACGGAATATAATTTCGGTTTACCATCTATTCCGCCGGAAGTGGATAAATTGGCTATGGGATGATTTTTTCTCAACCATCGAACTTTCGGCTCTGGAATACCGTGAACAATGCAACTTAATGTCACATTTGTTCCTTCTTCTCCATTTTTCTCATATGATTCCGCTTCTATTCTCGGAACGCATGCGAATTCATCCAAATCCAATTTATCCCAATTTTTTTCCGATAGTCTCGACGGATGTTTGCAAACCGGCGGTATGCTGTAGGGTACGTTTTGTCTCAACATCCATTCCCGTAATGTTCTCAAACCGCAAGAACAATTCCACGGATTTCCCGACAATTCTAAACCGTGTAAATTTCCAAGGGTTACGAGTGCATAAGGTTTTATATTCATAATTTTATTCTTATCTAATTTTAACCATTCTAAAGAAGTTTCTAGTCCTTGGAAAGCTTTTATTTCGACGTAACCAATTCGACATTCGGACAAATCTAATTTCGTCAAACGAGGCACCATTTTAAACGCGTTATTCAACACTCTTATGATTGGATTCCCGTTCAATCTGAGTTCCCTTAATTCGGTTATGAATTCGAACGTGTGACTCGGAACGGAATGTAATTCGTTATAACTTAAATCCAACTCGACCAAATTGATTATTTTACGAAAAGAAGATTTTTCAAGAAACCGAAGTCTGCATTTTGATAAAAAAATTTTTTGTAAATTTAATAAACTCGCGTTGAAAAATTCATCGGAACCGATTGTTAAAAGTGCGTTTCCGGTTAAATCCAATAATTGAGTACCGGAATCAAGTTGTTTTGGTATTTCCGTCATGTTTGCATTTGTGCACAAAACGGATTCTTTACCACTTTTCCACTTGCATTCGCAGTATCTCGGACAATCACCGGTTGTTTTGATCACGTTTAATAAAAACATCATCGTAAACGTCATTAAAGCATTCATTGTACTTTTTACTCGAATCATGACCCGTAATCGTCCATTTTAAACATAAACAAGTTTTTCATACTTTCTTACACAACGTAAATTTTTTCCAATTCATTCGACGTTATCGATCATTTTCTTCTTTTCCTCTTCGCCACCTATAAATAAATAAATAAAAATTGAACTTTTAATAAGATTATAAAAAAAAAAAAAAATTAAATATAATTTAATTTCAAAAGTTTTCTTTTTTATTTCACAAAGAAAAGAAAAATAGTAAAAGTCAACGACAGTAAAAAAAAAATACATTAACCCGGTGAAAATGAATTCCCAAAAGAAACTTTTCGGTAGGGAAAAAAAAAAAAAAATTTATGTGCCAAAATGAAAAATTTTATTTTATAACTTTTAGAGAAATCTAGTTTTGTGTGTGTGTGTGTTCAATACAAAAATAAGAAAACGAATTTCAAAGAGTTTTCCTTCAAAAAAAGAAAAATAAGGTTTGATTTCTTTAAAGTGAGAGAGAGAGAGAGAAAAAGAGTGAAAGAAAGTAAAAAAAAAAAAAAAAAAAAGTAGAAGTAAAAGTTTCTTTTGTATAAAATCCGGATAATAATAAATTCGACGATATATATATCTTCTCCCTCTTTCTCTCTCACTACCTCTCTGTCCTTCTCTTTTTCTCTTATCTACCTACCTCGCGATAGAAATGTAAAAAAAAAAATAAATAAATAAATTTTTTTGTTAAACACGTAAGCTTATGCAATAATCTTTCAATTTATTTTGTGCATTTCCGGTTTAGGTATTGATACGTCAAATAAACGATATTATTCATGTTTTTTTTTGTCGTCTCCGTCGTCGTCATTCCTTTGACGCATAATAAAAAAAAAGAAGAATAAATTTATTGGTGTAAACCTAAATAAGATCTTCGAACTTTGAGTTATAAAACTCGACCAACCGACGAAGGAACGAATGAACCCTTTTCATTAAACTCAAACGTGAATAACATTAATAAAATTATTAGTTGGCCGTTGAAATTCAGAAGAGGGTTGAAAATAAAGAAGATTGTTTGAGAGTAAAACTTATTTCGACCTTTTTCTTAGAAAGGGAGTGAGAGAGAAAGAGAGAGAAAGAGCAAACAGTAAAAGGAAAAGAAATTCTGACGATTTGAACCTTTTTTGACAACCTGAGGTTTGACGGTCGTTTACCAGTTTAAGTAAATCTTGGTCCCTTTAAAAAAGAAAATTGTACAAAGAAAGAAACCCCCTCAAGTAATGAATGAGTGAGAACCTTCCATCTCTCTCTCTCTCTTTCTCTCTCGCAAAAAATTGCATGCTCTTGAGATAAAAAGGTTCGATAAGATTCGAGTCTATTTAAAAATATTTTTTTCCTTTTTCCTTCTGACCTTACTCTTTTCCCCCCTCCCCGCTCCCCCGCCTCCTTTAGGCTTTGTCAAAATGTATAAAGTTCAAATTTTGATTTTTCCACGTCCTTTTTATATATATTGTTATATTCAGGTTCGTTCTTTATTTGTAAGTAATGAACAAGCACTTAAAACTATCACTAACAAAACTAATATTAATAAACAAGAACTTATTACAGCTAGACTAAAAATCAAATGAACCGACGCCAAGCTGTGTAGCTTGCCTATATTACTTTGGTCTTTCGTCAGTCAACTGTTTCGAACGAGCAACAATGGGAACTAGCAAACACTTGCAAATAAAATAAAAGAAGGAGTCTTTAGAAGCTTCGCTTCTAAAGAAGAATAATTCGAGTTCGTCGCCAGTCTTTTGTTTATAAAAATTTGAAAATGTGAATATTGAGTACGGGATCATAACACCTCCCCCCTTAAGACGGAAAACAATTATTTTGAAAAAAAGAATTTGTTTTCTCCTCTTGTTTGGATTTGACAGCTTCCTATGTCGGGTTCTGAATGGTTCCGTCCAGGTTGAAACTCCTTGAGTAGTAGTAGGTGCTATGTCTTCTGTATGGTAGACTGTTGTATCTCTTCACATTGGCTTCTTATCAGGAACATAATTTTAAGCTTTATAGCTGCAAGTAGCAGAACCTTTCCTAGGCAATACTCGTTAGTGAACAATGTTACATAAAGAGTAAAGATAAAAGAATAAAATCAAAAGACATGAAATTCGAAACAAAATTGACATAAGTTCTGAAAAATACAAGAATTGTATATAGGAAACATAAATAATGATTAGAAAAAGAATAAATGGATTAATAATAAAATAAATGATGATTAGCTATATGGGAAAATAAAAGGATTAAATTATTATTATTTTGGATTTCTCTCTTTAGATCAACTACCCAGAACACGGTTTTGTGTTGTTAACATGATAAGTAACTAATTTGTTACGGATTTTTAAATAAACGTTATTCCCAGATATTTTCTTGATCTCGTATGGGCCTTTAAATTTTGGACTAAGTTTTTTATTGATTCCTATTTTAGTTAAATTGTTTTTTATATAAACCAAATCTCCAATCTTATAATCGTGAATATTGATCTTATTGTCGTAATATTGTTTTGACTTCACCTTATGTTTTATTAGATTCTCTCTGGCTAATTTTTGACTGATTTGAATCTTCTCCTTTAAATCACTAATATAATCATCGTAATTTTTATTAAATGGTTTATCAATGAATTTTCTGAGTGTAGATTTTCTTATCAATGAATTCGGTATGAACGGTTTCTTGCCAAATAAAAGCTCATATGGAGTGTAACCTGTGGAAGTATGCGTGTGCGAATTGAAGGAATACATGGCAAAAGGAATAAATTCGTCCCAATCGTCTTGTCTCTCGTTTATATAATGTTTTAAATATTCCTTCAGGGTCAGATGAGATCTCTCCAATGCTCCATTAGTTTGCGGATGATATGGAGTAGATTTTATGTGATTTGTTTTAAATAATTTCATTAAGTTTTTAATTATGTTCGATGTAAAATCAGTGCCTTGATCTGTCAGAATAAATTTAGGGATTCCGAATAACGTCACGAATTTGGAGATCTTCGAAGCTATTGTTCTCGCCTCATGGTTCGGTATGGGCTCCGCGTATGAATACTTGGTTAAGTCATCTTGCATGGTCAGAATGAACTTATTTCCCTCACTAGTGGTTGGCAATGGTCCCATGACATCTATGGCCAATTTTTCAAAAGCTTGCTTAGAGGTAGTTGTTATTTCCATGGGCACCTTAATAGGTTTAAAATTAATTTTGTTAACTTGGCAGGACTTGCAACTTCTTATATAGTTTTTTATATCATTCTTCATTGTTTTCCAATAATAACGTTGTTTGATTCTTTGATAGGTTTTACAAAATCCACAATGTCCAGCCAGTTTAGAATCATGGTTTTCTACCAAAATTTTCTTAATCTCTTCCTTACTTTTGGGATGGATTCTTTCGGATTTGTCGGACGATGGTACGTTTATATAGACATTTCTGGAGAGTGCATCGGCATTTGCATTTAGGCTTCCCTTCTTATAAATAATCTTATATTCATATTCTTCTAATTTAATTCTCCACCGTACCAACCTACTATTGGGCTCCCTGCAATTAAACAACCAGGTTAGAGGTCTATGATCTGTGACAATAGTGAATTTCCTTCCGAAGAGGTAGGGTCGAAAATGTTTGACGCTCCATACGATGGCTAGGAGTTCCTTCTCTATTACACTATAGTTTAATTCGGACTCATTCAGAGTTCTAGATGCATAGGCAATTGGCAAGTCTTTTCCTATTTCCCCTTGACTGAGGACGGCTCCTATTGCGAAATTCGATGCATCCGTTGTCAAGACAAACTCGCTATTAAAATCGGGGTACTGTAGTATGGGTTGTGTGGAAAGGATTTCCTTGAATTTTTCAAATGCTTCTTGCTCTTTGTTTGTCCATTTGAAGTCCTGGTTTTTCTTAAGAAGAATTGTCAAGGGCTTTGCAATTTTGGCAAATCCTTTTATAAACCTACGATAATAACCTACCAGACCTAAGAAAGACCTTATGTCCTTAGTACTTTTCGGGATAGGGAATGAGTTAATTCCTTGTACTTTGTCTGGGTTTGGTCTGACGCCTACGTCACTGATAGTATGTCCCAAGTAAACGACTTCTCTTCTTAGGAACTCACACTTGTCCGGCTGTAATTTGAGATTATTTAGTCGGAGTCTGTCGAATATTTTCCTTAACTTAACTTCGTGTTCCTGAATACTAGCAGCATGGATCACGATGTCGTCAAGGTAAACAAAACATTGTAGTCCCTGTAAACCGGATAAAACGGTATTCATTAGTCTTTGAAAAGTAGCTGGGGCATTTTTCAGTCCAAAAGGCATACGCGTGTACTCGTAGTGTCCAAAAGGAGTTGTAAAAGCTGTCTTTTTACTGTCATCGTCATTCAATGGAATTTGGTGAAAACCGGAAGCCAAGTCTAGAGTAGTAAAATATTTTGAACGCCCTAACTGGTCTAAAATTTCTTCAATATTAGGAATAGGATATTTGTCATCTACTGTAACTTCATTCAATTTTCGATAATCAATTACTACTCTCCATTTCTTCTCTCCAGAAGCATCAGATTTTTTTGGAACAACCCATAATGGAGACGACCAAGGAGAATTGGAAGGTCTTATAATGTTTTGTTTCAGCATATCGGTCACCTGTTTGTTAACCTCTCTTTTGTGTATTTCTGGATATCTGTAAGTTTTAGTATAAATAGGATTTTCATTAATAGTATTGATTTTATGCTCAATTGCCTCTGTCGAACTTAAATAATCTCCGGGTAAGTGGAAAATATCGGAATAAGATTCACAAATTTTAACTATTGATGTTTTTTCTTCTTCATTAAGATGCTCTAACCTCAAATGGTTACTTATTATTGATTTCCTTTTATGTCGTGGTTCTAGACTTTTTATTTGGAAACACTGTTTTGAAGCTTTCTCAAGGCGAACCGTGATTGGTTCAATTGTTTCATCAGTCGTTCTTGTATTCAAAATGGTGGCGTAAGCCTCGTTGTTATTGTTTACTTTAACGATGGCACGCGACAAATAGACGCCTTCCATAATTTTTGTGTTTGGCACTATTCCTTCCTTTATTTCGGGGTTGAGGATGTTTATTTTAACTATGGTTTCTGTTCTAGCCTTAAGGTGAAGGTTGTTTGAAGATGAAGTCTCCTCGGAATACACAACTAGTGGTTTAGAAATTTCTTTCAATTTTACGGTGTTGGTTTCATATTCGATGCATGCTGAATTTTTTACAAAAAATTCTTTTCCTAGCAGACCATCATATGGGATATTAGTTGTTTGATTTAGAATGTGAAATTTTGTAGGTATAATATTGTCCTCGATTCTTAGTGGTATTACGCAAGAACCGACTGTTTCCAAGGCTTGCTGACTATGACTGATTCCCTGAAGTTTGATTTTTTCCTTGGAGTTAAATTTAGTTTCAGGAGTTAACTTACACGCTTTTATGATGTTTACACTGGAACCGGTATCTAAGATGAATTTCAGTGACTTACCCGGATTTTTGGAGTTATTAGACGATACTTTAATGAAATTTAGATTATCATTAACAACGAAGAATTTTATATTTCTGACACCTTCAGTTGACCTATTGACTCCTCCAGTGCGGTGTCTACCACTGGGGACTGATGTAAGTTTAAATTAACACTTGCTTTACTTTGTTTTTTTCGGAGCTCATTAATTTTCTTTCTTCGGAAACATTCATCTAAAAGATGTCCTGACTTTTTACAGTACTTGCAGAATTTTGGAATTTGAGCTGGAGACAATAGTTTTGAAGCATTAGAATTTCTAGAATCACAATTACAGCACCTATCACGCCTTCTCATTTCTAGAAATTTTTCTTCAGCAATGGCTGCTGAATATGCTGAGTTGATACTGTCGAAATTCCTCCATCTCAGCGCTTGGGAAATTCCGGAATTTGAATGGTAAATAAAACGACCCAAAGCAATCTCGTTAATGTAATCTATTTTTATTGAGTGAGCTCTTTTATCCTTGACATCCACCTTTAAGTTGGATACAATTTCACGGGACAAATTCTCCAATCTTTCATAAAATTCCGTTACCGATTCATTTGATTTTTGCCTGCAACTAGTCAACTCCTCCATTAGTTGACTATGGGGTTTCTTGTCTTTATATAATTCTATGAGTTTCGTTTTTACGTCATCCCAATTATCAAAATGGTATAAAGAAATTCGAATCTTGGCATTACCAGTGATTCTGGAATAAATGAATCTAAAGAGTGGATACTTATTTTCTTCAGAGGACATTTCGATAACACTATCACAATCATCAATAAATGCGTTAAGTTGGTTCCTTTCTCCGGAAAAGGAATTAGGAACTAGACTACACAAGAAACTAAGGGACATTTGGGATGGGTTGAAAACAGGTTGATCAAGTTTAGGCATTGTTCACTAAATGAGTTACCTATTAACTACTACTTACAGTATAAAGAAATTCTGATAAAGAGTTAAAACCCACCAACATGAAACGAATTACTTAAGAATTCTCCGGTTTCTTGTCGTTCAGAATGATCCTTCGTCGACTGCGCCAAAATTTTTAATATGTTATATTCGGTTCGTTCTTTATTTTTGTAAGTAATGAACAAGCACTTAAAACTATCACTAACAAAACTAATATTAATAAACAAGAACTTATTACAGCTAGACTAAAAATCAAATGAACCGACGCCAAGCTGTGTAGCTTGCCTATATTACTTTGGTCTTTCGTCAGTCAACTGTTTCGAACGAGCAACAATGGGAACTAGCAAACACTTGCAAATAAAATAAAAGAAGGAGTCTTTAGAAGCTTCGCTTCTAAAGAAGAATAATTCGAGTTCGTCGCCAGTCTTTTGTTTATAAAAATTTGAAAATGTGAATATTGAGTACGGGATCATAACAATATATATATTTCCCCCCCCCGCTTCTGTTAAATATTATTCAAAATTTTACAAAAAAAAAAAAAAAATTTTTTTTTTAACTGCCAAAAATTGTATCAGATTTATTACAATTTCTCTTTCCCACGTACGATAAACATAAATTTTCCGGGGAAACCCCATTTACCTTTTTTTTTTTTTTTTGACTTTCATCGGAAAATTTTGTAGGAAAATCTATGAAACATCGTCTTCCAATTGTAAGTTGAAAATAAAAAAAAAAAAAAATTTGGCATCAAGCATTTTTTTTTTTTTTTTTGTATAAAATTTTCTTCGTCTTTTCCTTCTTTTTTACCTTTTTTTCCCATCTCCTCCTCTTCCTCCACCTTCTCCCCTTAAAAAAAAAAATCATTCTAAAAACATTTTCTTTTTTTTTAATGAAACCGTCATTCAATCAGTCAGTCATTCACCTTTTTTTTTATGTAACAGAATAATTTTTTTATTTCATAACCTCGTACAAAAAAAAAGAAAATTTATCTTGATTTTCCGCTTGCCCAAAAAACTAAAAAGAAAAAAATGCCAGGAAAAATATTTTTAAAAAAAGCGCAAAATTCTCTCAAGAGTGAAAAATTAAAGAGAGAGAGAGAGGGAGAGGAAGCGTGGGTTGAAAGAAAATAGAAAAAAATTGAGGTTTTATATTGAATAAAAATTTTATATAAAAGAGAGGGAGAGAGAAACCGAGAAACGATTAAAAGAGATTAGTTAATGAAAATTACCATCGGTTTGTTTTTCGGTTAAAACCACGTCTTTCAAAAATTGATAATAAAATTATTATTATTATTATTATATTATTATTATTATTATTATTATTATTGATAAAAATTTTCTTCTTTTTTTCCTTATGTCAAACCTTTATTAAATAATAATAATTTAATCATAATAAAAACCAATAATGATTCCATTATTATTATTATTATCATTACTATTTTTTGTTTTTCCATCGTATCAAATAACTCGCGTTCATTTTCCATTTTTTTCATTTTTCCTTTTTTTCAAAAGAACGTCAAAGGTTTAAAACATTTTTTAAAAAAAAATTCAGTTTGTCGTTACAAAGGAAAATTCTCAACTGTTCATTATTAAATTTTTTTTTTTTTTATAAAAATAATAATAATAATAACGATAATAATTATGCAACGTATGCAACGGTGTTTGTGTTTGTTTGTGCATTTGTTTGTCTGTCTGTTTGTTTGTCGGTTGTATCAAAGACTTTAATAATAATTTTTTTACATTAGATACAAAGGAAACAATTGTTTATAACTTTAGTCACGTACTTGATTTTCTCCTTTTTCCGTCGTTATTAAATAATGATGATGATGATGATGATAATAATAATAATAATAAATCGTAAATTTTTATGGATTTAAAAGAAAATAATAATAATAATAATAAAACGACGAATTCGTTTTAACTAATAATAAAAAGTAAAAAAAAAAAAAAAAATATTTTTTTTATTATTATTAAATTATTTACGTATCCGCCATTTTGTTTTTTTCTTTTTATCAGGATAACTTCTGCTGTCGTAAAAAAAAAAAAAATTTAAAATTTAAATTAGTTGATTCATTTATATAAATTTTGAAAATTTAAAAAAAAAAATGGTTTTATTGACACAAAATACGAAAAATTAACTCAAAAAAAAAACTAACCGGAAATCATATTACCGGATATAATAATTCTTATCACGTGATATTAAAAAAAAAGGAGTAACCGGTCGATAGATAGATAAATCAATAAAACAAAAGAGACCGGATTCTGGATAATAGAACAAAGGTAAAATTGGTGGTGGTGGTCGTGGTGGTCATCATCAGCAGCAGGAGCATAACGTCATTCGTTCTTTATTACGACCAAATTTTATTATAATTATCATCCCTTTTGGCAATTAGGTAAATTTAACTTGGTAAACATATAGATAAAACATAAAAGAACATAATCAAGAGAGACTCTTTAGATTTCCTCTCTCTCTGTGTGTGTCTAGGAAAATTTAACAAAAGAATTTCAATATTATAAATCTTCTGTGGGGGGGGGGGTGTTCTCCATTTATAAAACAAAAACGTTTGTTGGTCAGTTATCTGTATATATATCAAACGCACGAACGAACGGACGAACGCCGTAATTCTTATCAATACCCCATTATTATCATCATTAAAAAAAAAGAAAATTCTTTTATTTTAAAATTTAATTCGATCGTTAATCCGAAACAAAAATTAAATTTTTTTTTTTTTGTAAATCGCGAAACGAACAATTAATAACCGATTAATCAAAGTAGCAGACGACGACGACGTCGTCGACGTGATTCTTTTTTTTTTTAAAAGAAACGCCTCACCAACTAAAAAAAAAACCGTTCGATATAAAAAAAAAAAAAATCTCTCGCTTGTATAAAAAAAAAAATTAAATTTGATTTATTTTTCATTTTTTTTTCTTTCTTTCTTTCTTCCTTCTCTCTCTTTTTATCATCATTATCAACATTATCATTATCATCATCATTATTATTATTAACACCTTTTTCACTCTTTTTCTATCAGTTATATTTTTTCAGGTTAGATGGGCACCTACGTAATTTTTTTTTTTTTGCTTTTTGCTTTTTCAGAGTTCATTATACACCTGGTGACAGGGTTTTTTTGTAACCTTCTTTTTCTACCTTAACCCCCCACCCTATTCCTCCCTTTCTCTACACCCTTCACCTCTTCTCCTCCTCTTCCCCCTCTTCCTCCCAAAAATAAAAAAAAAAAAAAAGAGAGAGATAATTTTGTAACATTTTTTGCCCTTTCCTTTTTTTTTTTGGTCTCATCCTTTTTTTTTTTCTCTCTCTCTCTCTCTCTTTTTCTGATTTTATTTGATTCACTGCCAACCCTTCTTGTTTTTTTTTTTTTTTGTCTTCTCTTTGTTAAAACTTTCTGCTTATGATTTAAATTTATCTTTTTCACGTAACAGTAAGCATTATATATATATACTTTTTTTTTTTTTTAAATTTTTGTTATTATAATTGTTAAATATGTTTTATTTAAACAAAAAAAAAAGAAAAAAAAGTAAAATAATAAATGTTGATAATAATATTTTTTTAAATCAAAATAAATTACGTAATAATTTTTACAAAAAAAAAAACAAACGAACGAAT